CTGGCATACATGAGTGCATGGCTGCGAACCGTGGACAGGGTTCGCGCCAACATCCTGAAAAGCGCAACAAATTACCATCAAATGATAACTGAAGTAATCCGAGGTGGGCCAAATACTAGGGATTTCACCTTGAAAAGGCAATTGAGCCAAAACGAACCCTCACTCCAAGCCTCATTTACTTCACTCGAAGGGGAAGAAGCACAGTGCAACAATTCTTGGAAACCTCTACTTACAAGGGAAGGATGGTAGGTCGAAGTGGCCGTTCGAAATGAAATGTATACCTCCTGATGCGTCTCCAGACGCTGATTCCAAATCTGCCTTCCAAATCTGCTAAACGACTCTCCGAACGGAGTTATGAAGCGTAATAGCTCAGTGGTGATGGTCCGGGGTGGCAGGTAAAAGCTCGTAGGATCGGTTCCTTTGCAAATTGGTTGCTTTGCTTTTGTCTCTAGAAGTGTTGCGGACAAAAGCAAAGCAACAAACTTGCAAAGGAACCGATCCTACGAGCTTTTACCTGCCACCCCGGACCATCACCACTGAGCTATTACGCTTCATAACTCCGTTCGGAGAGTCGTTTAGCAGATTTGGAATCAGCGTCTTTGGAGAATCATCAGGTGGTATACATTTCATTTATACGGCCACTTCGACCTATCATCCCTTTCCTTGTTAGATGAACACTAAAGGGACGGAATTCGAGTAGACATGATAGAATGAAGAGGTGATGAAAACGGATAAATAGCGGTCAGAGTTGGCGATCGTGCATGCGATTGGGCGACTAAGCAATGACTGAAAGAGTGTTTACGCATCGATTAGGCGACCAGGCGAGTAAGCGATTGGACGAGTAGGAGAGGAAGAGCGCAGGCGAGTAGGCGACAAAAGGAAGATACGTGCTGATCTATTGCTCCGTCCATTAACCGATCGCCTAGTCGTCTCATCAATACGTATCCCTTTCCTTATTGCGGGATAGCGACCGATTTGCCCCGTGCCCGCATAGGGACCCGTTAGGAACCCCCATGGTCCCCGAGGGGTTGGTCCGCCTCTCCTGCGGGGTGCGCAGGAGAGGTGTTGTGGGTCCCGATGGAAAGTCCTCGGACCGAAAGGTTCGAGGCGTCAGGAGTTGCTAGGCAGAGCCCACCGATGTCGGATCGCAATAGGTCAAGCACCGTTTGCGACACTTATAGCTAGACGCCAATGGCATGTAGCGTCTCGCCAACTCTGAACGCTGCCCCCCTATGATCCAGCTCTTCGCTGTCGAGCATTCAATCGCGAAACTTACTTTACACTTTTACAGCATGAATCCAATGACTCCTTATATAAACCGTCACCCTCGCCGACGGACATGCGATGGAACGACGCCATCGCTCCATGGCTTGTCCATCGTGTTGCAATCGCTCTTCGCGAGAGCAACTTGCACGCGACTTGCGCAATCGCTTGCCAATCGCTCTCGGCCGAGCGATTGGCAAGCGACGGACAAGCGATGGAGCGATCGCGATCGCTCCATCGCTTGGTCCGTCGCCGACTGTGACGGCGGTCTAACTGTGATCGATCAAATTGGAAACAGTAAGTATTGATAATTTCGAGAATAGTGGAGAATAGAAGGCTTAGAAGATCAAAAAATTCCTACGAGCCCAATTTTCCAAGATGTTAAGAGTGAACAGGGTGAATAACGGTCGAGGAATTCCTCGACCATCGCTCTCTGCTGTGCGAGAGTAGAGCCGATAGTGAATGTACGCGCGGAGAGCACAGACGGCTCGCGGGTGGCGAGAGTGAATATCCGCGCGCGAGAACGTAAAGGATCAGGCGAAAATCCTCGACGTGCCGTTGAGGAATCCTCAAGCAAATTCACCCTGGTGTAAACTCCAGCTGAGGGTTTTGAATTCATATTTGTCTAGGGCTGAGATACCCCTCCTGTTAGAATAATTCCAGCTCCTTCTACATATTTATTCTACTATGAAATCCATATACTACTACTAATAACCGTACATAACTAACACCGAAACTCTGCAATACACAAACTAAACTATCACACACAAATGATCAGCGGCGTTTAACATCATTAAGCAAGAGTGGAACAATCTTATGCTTCGACAAACATTTTGAGAAATTATTAACAGTACAACAGAGATGAAGATTCACGTTACTACGCAGCAAATAACATGAACACTAAGCAGTCGGTAGCTTCTCAAACTTTGATGGTTCTGGTGCTGGTTTTGACCTCATGCCTGTGAGCAGCGACTTGATCTCTCCAATAGCTTTTGCAGGGTTCAGGTGCTAAAAATGTACATCAGTGAACAAGCTAGTGAAGAAGCACAATTGTTCACAATTCCGAACACTACGAAGAATCTCGCTAATATTCTTCCACCTAACTTGAAACATCGAGAAACGAAGAAATGAAAGGGCGATAGGCGAGGAGGTGATAAGAAAGGAATATGCATCGATTTGTTTGCTCGCCCATTGAGCGATCGCCTAATCGCCTACTCGCCTACAACGCTCTATGGGCGGAGCAAACCAATCGCTACGTGCGTAGTTTCCCCCACCCCCTGATCGCCTACGCGCCTAATCAATACGTACAATTTTCATTTAAACTTATTGCACGTAGGATCGCCAAATCTGAACGGTCCACTAGCTTGAAGGACTTGAGCTACAATATTTTGCAAAAGCTTGATTGTAATAGCCTTCCCTACGGCTAATTAAACACCTACTGAACTGGCTAAGGGAGCACGGCCAAGGTCCAATTAAGTGTCGATCTAATGTCATAATGATTGTTAAATGCCCTCTACTATTTAAAACACCTTTTTTGTGCATACGCATCCCTACACAAGGTTGATGTCACAAGCTCAAGGGGGCACAGAGGAAGGTGTAATGCTTACGCAGGGAAGTATGGTGCCGGGTAACCAACTTGGTGCATTTAAAACAGCGTTTACCATCTCCTTTTCCTTGGAGGGGGGACTAAGCACTAGCCGAAGAGGAAGGACTCCAAAATGCGTGAACAATTTCCATTTTCCCCTGTTCCTTCCCCAACTTAGGCCTAGTCCTAGAGGATGGCCAGTATGTCGCGATACGCACCCATATTTCTGGCTATGAAATGAGAATCTAGAGCGTCAAAGGTAGCAGAGGTTAAGTTATGGGTTACGGGCCTTCGCAAAAAATATAGGACTACGCGCACTGATGCCGTTGACAACTTTATCTTTGAATGGTCCGAAAAAGAAAAGTCACCTTCGGGCAAGTCTTTGTACAGTTCATGATGGTATGGCACTTGAACGCAGAATAGGCATCATGCATACGAGCGAGACGTTCGACGGCGTAATCATCCCGAGAGTCGATGATCCATCTGAAATACAGAATTTGAACACTGCATCATTTCCAACTTTTGAAAAATACGGAAGTGAACAGCCATCAAGGCGCTATCGCACGATACAGGGGCATTGCAGTAGCAGTGATAGCAGTAGCAGCGGTAGCAGTGCACTGAAGACCGCATGAAACATCGCTTTTTTTGCTGACAACAGGACTAAGCCTCAGGCAGAGAGACTCGAGAGTGTGTGAGCGATTCCCATTTCCCCAAATTTCCTGCCCCTCCCCGGCTTAGTCCAGAAGAATGCCCTGTATCTTGCGATAGCGCCGTCATCACATTTACCACCAACCATCACTGATAAATAATGGAGGGTATCATGGGAATGAAAACAAGGAACTTACCGTAGCCTACATACCTGCAAAGCCGTGCAACTTCACGCGGAGAATGAACGGTAGCTCACATTCTGAGGCCCACTTGGATCGATAGAGATCGATAAGCACATCATCCATACACTTGTTACCTGTGAGAACCTGTCAACTCCTGTGATAAAATGCACAAGTGGGACCAGGTTTTCAAAGGTTTTACAGGTGCGGATGATGCACTCCAGCCTGCTCCCCCCCCCCCCCCCCCTCCCCAACTTCTTCCTCCATTTCCTTACCAATTATTTACGGTTAACAACAGGAAACCCTTATTTGAAAGCTATCATACCTATAAGCTTGCATGAGCACAGCTGGGCCCAAGTATTTGTCCGCGTTCCACCAATATGAGGGACAGGATGATGAGCAGCATGCACAAAGGATGCATTCATAAAGGTCCATCCTATAATGTGAGTTTTAAAAACAACATCCATAAACCCTTTATCGTTCGAACAGAAAAACTAACCAGCCTATCACGCTCCTTAATGCTCTGATGCAGCTGCCTATCACCTAAAGAAAGGGTTTCCTTCGTCTGCAGCCACGGTTGAATAGATCTGTACTGCTCGAAGAATAATGTCAGATCAGGAACAGGTCCTTTGAAACCCCTCCTTTAACCTTCTTTGGATATTCTTGCTAAATAGCTAAAGCGAATTGATATGCCGCCTTACCTTGACAACATACATGTGAGGTAGAGGATAGATTTTAGTGACTTTACTTGTGTCGGTGTCGATCTTTTTGGTACACGCCAATGTGTTTTCCCCGGCGATATTCATCGCACATGAGCCACAAATTCCTGAAAGCACTCACACAAATTTTCAGTTATCCTCTGACACAATTAGTTTCGAACAATATATCAATCTGAGCAAACCGGACTGGAATTGCTTCACACAGTCCAACCTCTGAGCGTCCATGAACTTTGACTACTCCCTCGAAGAAAAGCTCACGTGCAAAAACCCACTTCATCTAACAGCCATGCTACATTACAGCATGGCAAATCTGCCCTGAAAAAAGACACTAATAGTCAAAATCTTTTTTTACGAATTCAAACAAGATTTAAGAAAAATTTTAAGAGATGATTTGAGCCCACTTATTGTTAGTTGCTAGTATTCCTCTTCCCCCATCTCTCCCTTCAACATTAACCAAAATAATTTCTCTGTCGGAATCCAACAATGTTAATGCAACAAAAAATATTAGCAGTCTCTAGCTCAAACGAACAAGGCAACGCTTCTAACGGCCTCTATGCAATCTGTGAGCGCGTAACGAAATCATCAAAGAAAGGAACAGCGAAATAATTGATGTATAATGATGGTCTTTACTGTTGCTAGCACTTGGAACCTCAACGATAATGTAATTCCTGGGCAAACCATGGCCTACGCACTCAAGAAAGCAAAAACACGCGCTGCCGTCGAGGCTTCACCAAGAACATAATGACCTAATCAGGTCTCCGAAAAATATTCTAAAATTGCAAAAGAAAGCATTTGCACATCACTGAAACACAAAGTTCACACCTTCACGGCAACTTCTTCTGAAGGTAAATGTAGGATCTTGTTCGTTTTTGATTACCATTAACGCGTCCAGCACCATGGAACCACAGTGATCCAAATCTATGTCGAACTTCTAAAAAATAGAATTTCAAAGATCGGTGTTTCTTTTAATAAACAAATAAATCTATCGTGTTTTCTCGCATGGTACTTTTCAGACAGTCATGAGGGTGCGGTCATACGTAGTGACTATCCTGTGGTTCAAGCGTAAAATGGATAGGTAAAGATCGTGCCATCACATGATCGAATTCATATCTCTTCCACACTCGACTGCAAACGAAGTGAAAGGCTCGCAACGTATGACAGAACCCTTAACACCACATGCTGTGACAAAAGAACAGCATTTACATGTCTCATTCTATGGTATAAAATTTCTAAAGCAGGGGTTATCAAGCAATGCAGTCGCACCTGCATTTCGGGTTTGGAGCCCTTCTTGTCAGGATTCCATCGGTAAACCTCGAATGTTTTGATTCGTTTACCAGTTGGCTTCGTTGAAGACAGTGCTGCACAACTTGCATACACGACCGATTGGCCTTGGACCAATGATAACGAGCGAGCTAACATCCTGGAATACGCAAAAGATACTGAAGCCCATTGCAAAGTAAGACGAACTAAACAGCAAAGTCGAACATTATATAACGTTCAAAACGAAATCTAAAAAAGTAAGATTTGGTACAGAAAAAAAGCTTGAGAAGTGTAAGGCAGTACGCCGTAGGAAAAAACACGTGAAGCGAGTCAACTCTACAAACTCGACAAGGGGAAGTGGAATAACAGTGACTGGCAAGCTAGCGCACAGAGAGCTTAAAGAACCTTCCACAGGCAAACGAGATCCGCCAATTTGAAGTCTCGTGCAGCGAATGAATAGGTAGGTGATACTGCAACCAAAAACTCCACCAGTGATGCAAGAAAAAAAACTTGCTAAAAATCCTATAAAACCACACAGCGCGATGATCGTATGAGTGAGGTTTGTGCTCAGTTCTTCTGGAATCTCAGTTGGCCTAACCTCTTGAACCGTATCTTACCCCTATTTGATTAAGAGCAGCCAACCAATTGAGTGTGGGCCGCATGTTTCGCCCATATGCTCATCGCCCTCAGTGATTTTTGTGGTTCTTAGCTATTTTTGCTTCTTCTCCCTACTGGTGACCGGCTATCCACGACTGTTCATTTTCGAGCGAAGTTCCCAACCTATTCAGTCGCGGAATATGCCTTTAAGTAGCTGTTAGTCGTGACTCTGAATGGAACTGACTCAAAACTTTTCGGTGGAGGCTGGCTTTATAACAGCCATCCTGCTATTCTTAACAATGAGTTACATATATTTCCCCATATTAACAAGCTA